CCACAGTATTCTGCACGGTATCTGACACATAACTGGTGCTTAATAAATATATACTGAATCAAGGAGTATTTGTCATCAGTCATCCAACATAGGATGACATGGAGTAGTGGACCACCATGGGCCCAGGGACATGGCATGGCACCCCTAGTCAGTTCAGGTGATGAAGGAAAGTCCCTCAAACAGGGTTCAAGGGTTCTCCTGGACTTGGGGTGGTGGTTCTTGGGCTTCAAAGAAATAATCAGTAAGGGCATCAAGGAATGGCTGGGAGAGAGAGCCTTTATCAGCCCAACCCCCATAATTTCTACCAGACTCCCCCAAACTATCCCAAATAAATACGTATAAGCAAACGAAAGCAGTTGTAGGATAGACACCTCGTCTCCCTTCCCAAACATGCTGTCATCCTAAACTTTCATACATAAGGACTCGGGGCCACCGGAATGACTGACATAAATGCATTCAGTCACTTTAGTACTCAGAGAAGACACAACAAATTGATGACTGTAGAAGGCTTCTGTCTGTCTAAAGATGCTCCTTAAATGTTTTCTCTCCTCCTCTTTCTGTTTCTGGCCACTCTGAGGTCACATCAGGTTGTAAACAGTCCCTGTGCTTTGGTGTGGATCTTAGGACATGTGCCGATTCACTCAACTGTTTTCTGGGTCTGCTCCTGGTCGCCGGACCTCCAAACCTCTGCACCAGCCAGCTGCCAGGATATATTTCCCGACCAAGCAGCGGCTCCCACGGTCTGACCTGCCAGGCACCGAGTGAGAGCCCCTCCCAGCCACTTGCTGGCCTGGCACCCTGTGGGGGGGACAGCGGAGGAGAGGGAGCCTTGGCACAGTCGGGTTCAGACACGGCCTCTCCTCTGTGGCCACCGCAGGACACGTGAAAGGGAATGATGACTGCAAAAGGGTCACACTGTGCAACCGAATTCAAAGAGTATGGTCCCCACCAAATATAAGTAAAAACTAGATTATACATAAGCCTTAAAAGACCAGAAACACTTCAAACCAAATGCTAATAATAGTTTTCTCTGGCTTGGAGGATTATAGTTCTTTGTGTTTGTTTGCTAATACTTTATTCCTCAGAGTTTCTATGCTAAGAGTGCATACTTACATAATTTGAAAATTTATCATTTTAAACAAATGCATGAAGGAGCGAAGTCTTGAGTTCAGTTTTCAATTAAATAAGTATGAGGCAGACTGGCTGTGGAGGATTTTTATCTGTTTTAAAATGATTAAACACAAAAAATAGAAATACATTGAGATGATGGAAATTCCTTTTTCAAAAGTATCTCCATATTATTTAACAGTCTATGTAGTTTTCCCTAGATGCACATGCATTTTTCATCTGCTTACAATGTTACTTTCACTCTAAGAAGTTCAGAGCTGCTCAATAATAATTGACCCAGTCACTGTAATATTGAGACACTGACAGGAATTGACTATTGAAAATCAAATTTCAAAAGTCACTAAAGACTTGTGAAAAGGTGGGAGAAAGGGGAAGAGAAGAGAACCAGTGCTTACTAAGCATCTAGTATGTGCTAGCACGGTGCTAGGTACTGATGTACCTGATCACAGAACTGCTAGAAGGACCCAGAACTCAGGTTTAATGTCTCTTAAAGGGAAACTCCCTAAACAGCAATCTTCTCTAGACTGCTATTCTCCTATCTTTATAGAGTAAAAACATTTTATTAACCAACTACAGTGATTCTATGCCCACTGTCTTAGAAATATTAGCAGAAAGAAAAGAAAGGGCCCAGCCGGTGTGGCTCAGTGGTTGAGCATCGACCCCTGCACCAAGAGGTCCTGGTTTGATTCCCGGTCAGGGCACCTGCCCAGCTTGTGGGCCCGATCCCCAGTGGGGGGCATGCAGGAGGCGGCCAGCCGATGTTCTCTCTCATCAATGTTTCTCTCTCTCCCTCTTCCTTCTCTCTCTCTAAAATCAATAAAGAAAAATTTTTTTAAAAGGAAAAATGAAAGGGAGAGAAGGGGAACACAGGAGTGAGGAAAGAAGGAAAGAAAGGTGATGTGTGTGATGCCTGATTTATATATTTACACCAATCAAGCGCGTGTGTTTGTATGTGTGTGTGTGTGTATACACACACATATATGTATATGTGTGTATGTATCAATTAAATGCATCAGCTACGGATGGATTGTTATTCTATTTATTTTTTTTAAACAAGGGTCAGAGAATCAAGAGAAACTCCATTCAAATAACAATTTCAAAGGACAAACTAGGATTCCTGGCCACCTCTCTTCATAGAGCAACTGCCAGGCAAAGCAATACGAGTACTTTCATTTATTTCCTTCTGACACCTTCTTGTACAATTCCTACCTGCAGTGATCGCTTCCTTTTCTGACTTCCTATTTCATTGGGACCTAACTTACATTACCTAGCAGTCAATTATATACTGTTTCTGTTTTTTCTTGCTCTTTATTATTTTCCATATTTTAATGTTCTCTTTTCTACAACAGTACATAGTCTTTGAGAACCAGGGCCACATCTTAGTATCTTCCTTCATGCCCAGCTCCCAGACACCTACCTCAGCACCTAACCAATTGTTCCACAAGCCCTAGCTTATAACTGTGCCCTCCTAATGTCCCGTGGTGCATTGCTTCTCACACCACCACCACACGTGTAACACTGGGCTGTGTGTCAGAGATGGACATTGATCTGTCTGTTCATGACACTGTAAACACCTTAAGGGCAGAGAAGGTGCCTTTTCATTTCTGCAGCCTCCTCCGGGTTTCACAGTGCAACCGGTACATTATAGGTACTCAATATACATCGACTGGCTTAAATAGATTAAGATGGACTTCTAATGTGTCCCAAGTCAGCGATGTAGAAGCAGAGTTTGCTAAGCACCCAAGGGAGACTCACTATCCCCTTTCATGGCATTTTTGTTAACATTAATCACGCACTTAAAAAGGCCACAAAGTTTAGCAGAAAAAGCACGAGTGTTGAAGTCAAACACTCCAAGCTGAAATCAAAGCTGCCACCACTTTCTTTTCTGATGTTTCTATTTTCAAGTGTTCATTTTAGCTGCAAAAGTCCTTTCTTGATCTTGAAGTTCAAAATTACCCAAGCAACACATGAATTAAAGATTTAAACAACATGAGAGATTCCTGCAAACTTGAAAATATTGTCCTACGTGTCTTTCCCCTGCTTAGCTACATCAAATAACCGCTGTCAGCCACCTAGAGTGCTCAGCTCTGATTCTCTTTATCTGCATTTGTGTGTGTGTGCGCGTGTGTGCATGTGTGTGTGTGTACACACTTTTTCTTTTGTATTTTTTACATAAATAGGTCCATATTCTATACATATTGTCTTATTGCACTTTTTCACTTAATTCTTATCTCATCCAGTATTTAATATCAATCTGCATGGTTTATCTGGCATTTTAATAGCAACAACACTCTGTAGTTTTGTGCCTTTGAGAATGACAATAAATGTTCTGGGCCTCAGTTTCCTCACCAGTAAACTGGAAATAGTATCTACTCCAAAGAGTTGAGGTAAAGATTAATTAATGTATGCAAATCTCCTGCACGTTTGGTGCTAAATAAAATACAGCCATTGTTGTTACTGTTATTAACTTTGAAGCATAGAAATTAGACTGGGAAATTCCTTACTTCCTCTCAGGGCTGATCTTTGCAGGGTTTTAAGGAAGCGACAGTGAACCAGGTGCTCCAGGACCCTCAACGCTGCACTCAATGTTTCAGGCGGACTTCCTCCCACACTTAGGAAGTACAGGGAGTCACTGGGGGTCTGCGGGAAGGGAACCTGGACTTGCTCAGGTGCTTCATTTCCATAGGATTACAGAAGGGAAAGGGTGAGAAGAACTATCTCCCTCCTAATTGCCTTGCAGGGAATCAGCGATGTGACTTCACCTTGTCATTAACCGGAGCCAATCTTCGAAGACCTGCTCACAGCAGTGGCCTCCCGACATTAAACAGTGACAAGAACAATACCCACGGGCAGCTCCAGTCTACAGCTGTTCTTCCTTCCGCATCTGCTTTCCTGCTCCAAGAACTCGTACAGTGCATGCCTATCAACTCTGGATTTAAGACGGCATCTCAATACATACATTTTAAATAAGACCCAAATCGCTGATCAAAACTGCTTGAAGTTTTCCAGATGCAAGGACATTTATCTACAGCCCTTCTGAAAATAAGGGGGAGCAAAGCCCAAACCCTGTCAAAGTTAATTAGATTCATGCAAAAAGCTTAACAGTCCTATGCAATGTTTTTCCTCTATTACATATAAATGTACAATAATTCTGTGAACACTGGGTTTAATTGCTCATAATATTTTAATTAAGGTTATGCTTTGTATAAATATCAACTCATTTACCGTGACTACAGTCCTGTTTAAAGGATGGAGTCAATCTGACAGCACCTTCATGAAAGAGAGCGCCTGTTAAGAGCGTGGCTCTTCTGCAGTCTGGAATGCTAACGGGGGTTAATTGTCCAAACAAGCCTAGTACAGACTTCAAAACGATCTTCACACTTTACTGACAGAACAAGGTAACCAAAGTTTTATGTGACCTGCTGACCTAAGACCATGAATAACATGATGGCTCTTCTCAGTCTCCATGTCTGCTTCCTGAAGACCAGGGCTCCTTTTTAATATTTATATTGTGCCGCTGCCCTTTAAACAGACACCCTTTAACTACTGTATTTGCGATTCAGATGATCAGATAATTAGATGTAAGATTAGATGCACCAGAAGAGATGGCTGCCTCAATTAATCTTACAGCCTGAGCCGCTGCAAATCACCCCTCGGTGTGGAACAGAAAATATCAAATTGAGTTTTCAGCGGCAGAGAAATTTCAAGTCTGTAGTCATTTTAAATCCATCTGAGGCAAGGATATAATTTATTACTGTATTCAGAATTCATGTCCTCTTTTTCCAAAACACCGATTTTAATTAGAGTACAGAAACCCAAACGAGGAGAAATAAGGGGTAAAAAATGCCCTTCTATTCCACAGGGATCACTACCTGCTCTTTCCATAGACAGTACCTGTCGTGAAGTCCATGGGCGCCCTGGGTACATAGTCGTTCCCTATCGAGTGGCCCTCGCCACCCTCCAAGGAGCAGTGAGCCATCTCCCGTCTGGGCTGCTTTTCTTCCCTTTGCTACGGGTTTTCGTATTCAAATTTCACAAATCACTTTGACTTCTAAAGTGATCTAGTAGTTTGTTTCATCAAATACATGAAGATGCAAAAAAATCTCGTATTGCCAACTATATGTACTTTTTATAAACAGAATAGAATTTTGAACAGAATAGAAACAAGATATAAAAATAGACCTTAAAACTAGAAAACAGATGGCAATAAAAGATGTCAGGATTTATCCATGGGTGCTATTAAGAGGAAAGTGCAAAATAACCAGCCCATTAGATTCTTTTAAGAATGTTGAATAAAGTAAATAATTTGAGCTTCTACTGAAGTCACAGGGCCTTTCGAGAGGGGGGCGTGTGGGTGGTGTTTAAGTAATCTAGTTCACAATGCCCAGATGGGAAGTCGAAGCTCGAATCCTATGCTAGGACTTTACCACAACAAATCCAAACCTAAAGTCATTCGAAGCCTTCACTTCACCTGGGAATGCTGTATTCAAAAGTTGGAGTTAATTATGTTAAAAAGTCACTCCATTCATTCAACAAATATGGATAGAATACAGGGAAGTTTTTAAAAAGAAGCAGCTGCAAAATAATTCATAGGGGAAAGAAATCTCCATAAATAACAAGAGGGCAGGAATTGCTTGTCATAAACTTATTTAATATTCCTCTGATCTCTGAATATGACGGTGACAACATGTACAGATACACTAACGTCTTCAAAGATAACCTAAAAGAGAAATGTGTTAATAGCAACCTGGAACCAGAACCGATGAGTTTGACCTCATTTATTGCTTGATGCACAACTAAATCAGAGTACACTTTGCATATTTGCTGCTAAATTGAGCTTCTGCAGGACAGAGACCACAACCCATCATTTTTCTCTTTTGTATTCACAAAGTAGTTGCGTTATCTTTAACCATGCGCTAATGATTTATATAACTAGACGGTGGGCATTTAAAGAGCAAGGAGATGTCTTCTGCATGTTTGTACTTCCCTTCGCTGCTTTTGGTTGTGCGTCGGGCACCAGCAGAGGTTGCATGCAAGGATGGAAGGAAGGTGGGAAGGGAGAAAAGCCGCCAGCTTGAGAAGCTTTGATTCCCAAGACTTGCTATGAGTATCTTTCCTTCTCTCTGGAGTTTGTGGATGGCCTCAGTATTCTACCAATCACCCTACTGTCTTTGGTCCTCTCAGACCTCTCCCTCTTCATCTGCTTTGGTCTGTCTTCCCAAGTTCCTCCTGCTCGTGTCTGCACCATCCCACGGCCTCAGCCTCAGAGCCAGGACAAGCAGCCGTGCCCCAGCTGCCTGGCTGGTCTCCTTTGCCTTCTTTCTCCCCCCGACGTTATCTCCTGAAGCTCTCGCGGTGCTCTTTCCTCCTCAAGTCTGCGTTGGCCTCCAGAAAACACCACACACCACACATAAGCTTCTCTGTACCACCTGCTGCTCTCTGGGCCTGGGTGGCCCCCTCTAACCACACATCTCCACCGGTCGGAGGCTCCGACTCCCCTGCAAGGCCAGCCCCGTGGCATCCCTCCAGGCCCTGGACGTTCTCATGGAGCCCAAGCTCGCGTCTGCCAGCTCTCTGCTCGGGCAGGAATGTCTGCAGACTGCTCAGGCGACCCTCGCCGTTTCTGTGACCATCAGGTCTCCCTGGGGACACTGCGATCTCCTTCTTAAAAACCCAGCATGCTTTGTTCAACCACACACCTGATGCCTTTTTCCACAGCAGGTGCTCAGCAAACGTGTGTTTAACGATACCATATGCCCTCGGAACCTCATCGCACACACTCCGCAACCACAATCTCAACAGTGATCAGGGAATCGAAGTTTAAGAATCGATTCCAGGCGTCCATTAATTTTACCCTTCTATCGGAAAGCACATAAATGTCTCAGTCAACGAAAAGTTTACTGTTATTCAATACTCTTCTAACATGGATGTTTCAAATTACAAATACACATATTTGTAGTTTATACATATTTCTCAGCCACCCAACCAAATATTTCTACAAGCACATGACCGTCTCTTTATCCTTTATTCACAGTGTGTTTGATTTGTCTAGACATCTCCCTCTGTGCCTTTGATATGCTGGGGCACCGGGGCACCTCTGCTCGGCCACTGTCCCTGGGATGACTTTTCTGGGGCCTAGGAGTGGTTCTTCACTCTTTCGTCTACTTTCTAACAAGTCCCACTAAGTCTCTGTAGCCATGGCAGCAGCTTAGCGTGCAGCATGCTGACAGCTCCCTGAAGACTCTTAGGATGCTGCCCTCAGAGGCCAGGCATGCCTACAACGCCGCCCCTCCACAGGGCTGCCCGTCTCTCGTGTCACCCCTTCCAACGTCTGTCAGTCCTACCGGAATTGTGCTCCTTACGGCCAACCTCAGTCCCTCACACGGCAGTTTCAGGCCCTTTCCTCTCCTGTCTGACGGCGGCGGGTGTGGAACACGGTAATTTTCCTCTGGTTAATTAGGGAGGAACGCCTTCAAGGTATGTCCCAAGAAATTCTTTTAATATTGTTTTGTTTTTCTCTTGGACAATATTGATTTTTACATTATGTATCCCCTAGAAAGAGGGAGAATGCCAAATTATGTCTCTGCCAATGACATCCTATTTCTTTGATCCTGTCTGCGTAGTTACCTTGTTGGAGCTCAAGGCTCCTGTTTGAAAAATCGATGAAGGATGGAAAGATTTAGCTCCAAGCTTGGTGAACTGTGGTTGCTAATCCAGCCTCCGCACAACACGGTAGTGTAGCCAGCTCCCCTAAGACATGCATTATCTTCAGGAAGGAACGGAGAAATCCTAGAGTGACTAGCTTACAGGACTCACACATGTTCGCAGCACACTTGAAGTGTCCAATTCTTATTATGTTCTCATCCACGAAGCCCTAATGACGTATCTGTTCACCTGAGTCTAGGGGTGCTGCCCAGATGACCCTGGACTCTGTCCCTCGTGAAATGTACCCAGAACATGGGGGAAGGTTGGGAGGGTGCACTTGGAGATGCCGCTGGAATGGACCGGGAGGGCCTGGAACCAGGTCCGGAGCCTTCTTTGTGCCACACACATGCCATGGCTACAAAGGGCCCTTTGAGAGCAGTGGCCTGGCTGCTGGACCCACTTCCTGAATTTGGGAAACAAGGGAAGGTTAGCCAGGACCAGAACTTTTCTCAACGCATCGTTTAACATGCAGTGAGAAAAAAACTGTGCTGCTAATATAAATGAAAAATCAAACAAATCGACAAATAAAAATCCTCCCTGGGCAGCCTGAGAGCTGCTTACAGCTCCGGAAGCCATTGGAACGGAGTACACGCTGTGTCCACCCCGGGTCTCCACCCCAGGAGCCCTCCACACACGGGATCCTGTACCGTCCACCCATCCTCTCAGGAGAGAACAGCGCCAGTTTGATAGACTGAAGCTCTGGGAAATTACCGGCTTTGTCTTCTGCACTAACCAAAGCCATTGCCCCCCAGCTTCATGCTGCCCTCGCATACCACTGCCCATTCACCCCTCCCGGGTGTCCGTTGGAGGTAGAAGCCCTGGGACCCACGTCAGTACCTCATATGCTCTTCTGACTGCACTTAAGTCACGAGTACTAACTTAACACTTACTTAGAGACCTAATTCCCTTTCATTTTAAACTCGCTCAGACATGTAAGAAACTTCTGTACGGTTTTGTATCTATACAACCAACCCCAGACACACCGCTTGTTATGTCATAAAAACACTAAGAGATAAAAATGAAAGATTTCATGATATCTCAAGTTAATAAAGCAAAGAGTATCTCAATAAAGTAATTCTTTTCTATTTACTTCCACATGGAAACTTATGAGCTGTGTCTGGGGGAAACCACACACACACACACACACACACACACACACCCTTACACGTTTTATTCCCACGTAGGCACTAGAGGTATAGATATAATAAAAAAGTCAACCATCTGGGGCACTCTAATATATTGCTGGTAATATTTTACTTTGTGTACTTTTCACCTGGCCAGTGTGGCTCAGTGGTTGAGTGTAGACCCCACACACCAACAGGTCGCTGGTTTGATTCCCGGTCAGGGCACATGCCCAGGTTGTGGGCCCAATCCCCAGTGGGGGCATGCAGGAGGTGGCCAATCGATGTTCTCTCTCATCGATGTTTCTACCTCTCTCCCCCTCTCTCTGTAAAATCAATAAAGAAAAAAAAAATTTAATGTGTGTGCTTTTGCAGAAAGACAACAGTTTGAATTACACACACACACACACACACACACATCCAGAGCCCCACATATTTGACTCAGTAATTCTACTATCAGTACTTTATTCTCAAGAAATTATGGTACTTCCCCTCAAAAACTGAGGTACAAAGATGTTCATCATATTTTATTACCATAAAAAATTAGAAATAACCCAAAATTCCAATGATAGGAAAACATTAGTAAATTATAGTAAAGCTACAAGATAAAATATTTTGCAGCCCTAGAAGCACCTCTTTAATTAATATTTGATATGGGGAAAGGCTTAGGATTAAAATTAAGTAAAGCAACACATGCAAAGCAGTGGTTAAACAGAATCCAGATTTTTTTTAAAAAAAAGAAGAAAAATATTCTTTACTACGTATAAAGATTCTAAGTGGAAATTCAGGAAATTCACTTCACTCACCCAAATATCAACAATTTCAATGTCTAGGAAGTAGGCTTACAGGTGACTTAAATTTTCTTATTTATATTTTTTACAAATTCCAACTGGTCTGTAGTGAATATGTTTTATTTTATTAATTTTAATCAGCCATTTTCCACCTCCCTAACCCTGGACAGATCAGGGTTCCTGTCTCTTCATACCCAGACTTTGGGAAACCACGAAGCTGCCCAGGGCAGTCCCGTCTATTTTTGCTTGTTGTCCTGTCACTAACCACTTCCATACTCAGAGGTGTCCTGGTTTACATAATAAATTAATGATGACTTTATTCAACTCAATCTGTTGGATTAGGGACATAAAATTTCAAGTAAAGGACTCTCATACATGACCAGTCTTCTGTC